GTTTAGACTCATCAGAGCCTCTGGCAGCTCCGTGGACCCTTCTGGCTGTTCTGATAACCCCTGCATGGTGCCCTCTCCTCATTGCGAAAACCTGGGACAATGGGCACAACTCCTGGAACAGGCAAATGTTTAGACTCTCAAGAAAGAAGTGCCGGGGCGTGGAGGGGAGGTTGGCCCAAGACTGATCATCTGGGCAGGTCGCAAGCAACCCCTGGAGGGAGGGACTGTCTCCTCCCTTGTTCTGAACCTCCAGGTGTTTTCTGTTTGAGTGGGCTGGCCTGTGAGGAGCCAGCTGGCATAACATTAGCCCCAGGATTTCCTGGGACAGACACTGCTAAGCATCTTCAATATGCTAATTTAGGCTAGGCATAATGGTTCATGCCTATAACCCCAGCACTTTGGGAGGCCAAGGTGAAAGGATTGCCTGAGCTCATGGGTTCAAACCCAGCCTGGGAAACTTGGTGAGACCTCAACTTAATAACAGATTAAAAAATTAGCCAGGCATGGTGGCACATGCTTGTAGTTCCAGCTACTTGGAAGTCTGAGGCAGAATGGTCTCCTGAGCCCCAGCAGATCGAGGCTGTGGTGGCTGTGAGCAGTATGCCACTGCACTCCAGCCTGAGCTTCAGTGAGACTCTGACTATCTCTCTCTCTTAGATAGATAGATAGATAGATAGATAGATAGATAGATAGATACATACATACATACATACATACATACATACATACATACATACATAGATAGATAGATATAGATATAGATATATATAAGTATAGATATAGATAGATAGATAGATATACACACACACATATATATGTGGTAATTTAAACCTCCCATCAGCCCTGTGTGTAGTATCACCACCCCACTACACAGATTGATAAAGCAGGGTTTAGGGTACTTGCCCCAAATCCTTAGCAAGGGATGGCAGAACCTGGATTTGAAGCCAGAACAAGTTCTCGGGGCCCAAGGGGCTTTTCCTCCCAGTTACAGAATGGCCATGTGGCTGGGCCTCGGCCCAGGGTTCGTGTTTCCTTGCCAGCTGGGTGTCGGAGAAATGAAGAAACTTGTCCCTGGGTCTCCAAACAAGACAGCGGTGCTGTTTGAGGCACCCAGGCCTGAACCCACCCCATCCCCAAATGGGGAAGGGGTCTTGCCTCCTGCCCGAAGGGTGCCCTCCTGAGCAGGTCCTCTCTCCAGGTCCTGGACACCGGGTGAACGCCTCCCCTCCCTGCCTCCTGAGAAGGAGGGGTGGGCCTGAGCAGGGACCACCAAAATGGGTCCCATCAGGACGACAGCCCCCCGAGAAGACAAAGCCCACCGGGGACTTCAGGCATCTGAGAGGGAGACTGTGGGACCAGGAACAGGGATTTGGGAGGACAGGAGCGTTCGGCCTTGAGTTTGCTCCTGACTGACCTTTTTCCTGCCTTGGGCTGGTGGCCGCCATGGATAAACCCAGTCAGCCCCAGGAGCACTCCAGCAGCGGGGAGACTCAGCAGCCAGGATAGAAAGTCA